TGGCAAGTATAAATCTCTATGAGAAATAAAACGATGACACTAATAAAATACAATTATCAATTATTTACTTATATGATAGTTTTTATGAGGTTAATAACATAAAATTTACTCATTTCTTATTTAACTATATAGTTTTCTAGTTGTTTTTATTTTCTATCACATAATAATAAATATTTATGATGGGTTAAAATAAATTTTCTCTGTTATTAAAAATATGATTTAAATTCTGATAATATATATTTTTGGATTTGCATGATATATATTAGAACATTAGTGTTGTAATATAAATTGACTTCTACCTTTTTTAGGATCCACATTAAATAGTATTTTGAAATTTAACGGGTTATTAATTAAAACTTAAATATTTATTTTATTAGTTTTTATAGTATTTATCCACGTATTAACGCGGATCTTTTTCTAGTGAATATAGAAAATTGGAAGCACCTGAGCCCAAGATTGGTAGAGTCGTACACAACCCAAATTCTCCCACCGGACCTTCCATTTTTAGAAACAAGCTTCATTCACCTTTCGATTCCACTTAAAACACACTATGTTTTATTTCGTGCAAGTATATCTTTCTTATGCTTAATTTCTTTCTCTTTTTAATTTAGTATTAAATGCGTATCATTATATTATCGGATATTTCAGATCCAAATTTTAGACATCTTGGGATATATCAATACCATGTGCATAATTGAGTGGTCGTGCATGTGTGTATATATAAAAGAAACATAAATCAGCTCATAGTTCGAATCTTTGGAATGTTTAATCATTAAAATTGAGCAAATTGGAGTTCGAATTTTCTCATTGCGATTTTAGTTATGGTTGGCCACAAGACTCAAATCCCCGACTATTCAAAGAAAAAACAATTATAGCGAGAAGAGACATTCGATAATTTAATTGTGTTGTGCCCTCTATTTTAAAATGAAATTTAATAGATATTTTTCGAAAAAAGCTATGCATATGATGAATATAAAAGCTAGGTAGTGAAAGAGTTAGGATGTTTTGTTGATAATGTTCAAAAGCACCAAACTCATCGATATAACGAACTACCACTACATACCCGCACTACGGTCTATCACTCTCATTACACCCAACAAGCAAAACAAAGCCTATTGACTCAAAACCACTTCTAATGAATCAAAGAAGAAGAAGTAATCAATATCTAGTCGATTTCTACGTAACATGCAACTCGAATCGATTGAAGACAACTTCCCACTCCCAATAGTATCTACCAAATCTATCATCTCTACATTTCAACTATTTGGCTACTACTACCTTTTTCCCTTAACGTGCACTCTTAATTTATATTATGTGCAACGTTGATATAATATTTTTCTTAAAACCTCGACATTCTAGTCATTTTAAATTCGGGATAAGGCTTTCGTAATATCTATGAAAATGTAGCTTAATCACTTCCATTTGCAATGCGTTCCTTCTTATTAATAGTGGATTGGAAATTCACAGCTGTCAATTGATTATATTTTTTGGATATATCCCCCAATATCATAGTCACAAGTTACGTAGGTAAAAGTATCTTAAATATAATGATGGATGACCAAAAATATGATCAAAATATAGTAACGCATTGATGACAAAAATTGTTATCAATTTTTCCGTCACAAAACTATATATTACTAGATACAGTTTTTCCATTTGTTCCCATATCAGAAAAATTCATATATTATGAGTTCTTTGGATTTGTATATCTCACGATGACTAATGTTGTCAGCTATTGTCTATTGCTTACCCCATCAATGTCTTTAAACTCACGTACTATTATATATAAATATTTAGATCATTAAATTGCAAACATAGATCGAATCAACTACGATGGTACTCTCGACTGCTACTTTTTTAATGTTTTTTTTTTCTATAACCAGAGGTGTCCTGATTTTACCACCCAACTAATTTCCCAGAATGAGTGTAGTCGTCGAATAGTCCATCCGCCGGGTTTTCTATGGACCTAAAGCATGATACCATTTTGACTGGCCAAATAAAAGTGAAAATATTCACATGAAAAATCGAACTAAAGTTGGAAGAGTTTACCAATTAATATGTCACTGCTATTAGATAATTTGTTGCAGTCTATTGTCATTGGCAATTTGCAATATGTTCTCATCGATGTCAACACAAATATTAATGACAGGTTAGTTCTATCGTGATCTATCACTATTCCTTTTTTTTTTTAATTAGCAACACAGATTCATTCCATTTGTGTGGCTATTTCTTTTTCTTTTGTAGAATCCATAATTAGGTATGAAATATGACATAATCATAGGATTATAATTGTTTATATTGTATACCAAATCTAGAATCATCGAATATATCGACGCATATGAAATAGGAATTTGAATGCAGAAATGCTTGGAAACTACGTTAATGCATTTTAATAGACGCAAATATATTTAGAATTCAACTACCAAAATGTAAGTTAGATCTTGTTTTTAGATCTTTTTTTCTTTTCTTTTTTCTATTTTTGTTGTCAACAATGTATGTTAGAATTTAAACACTCCATAATTTTTTTTGTTTGGTTAAACCCATGATTAATTGTTATGATCTATAGCTACGTGACAGAAAATTGTAGATGAAAATGTCGTTTTTATAGACCTAAACACATTAATTAAAGTATATAAAGTAAGAAAACTTGTTCAGCGAGGAAACAAATAATTTCCACAAAAGACGGATTGAATTTAACTTTTCAAATACTTTAATTTGGTCAAGCTTACACGAAACTCATGTGAAAGCCTTCGACACCCTGATTTTGATATTTACTTAAAACTCTTTCTCAGAAACGCCCTAACGGTTGGTTGGTAGATCTCACATCACAACAAAATTTAGTTTTTTTTATTGGTGATCATATGTGTTTTTTTGTTGGTGGGAGAGACAGAGTTGTAATAACTTGAAATTCATCATTATTCACAAAAATTTGCATTGTTACCGGTATAAGCGTGAAGATGCTAGGATTCTCACATCGTATATCTGAAGGGGCTTTGTGTTTTATAAGAGTGATATAGAAAATTAACCTTTTTGTCAATTGGTTTGAAGTAGAAGTCCATGTAATTTCACATTATTGGTCAATTTTTTACTTAGTTTGTTTGTTATGTTAAA